TCATTATAACTACAGAACTAATACCGGCTAATTTTGTTGGTTATGTTCTTCTGAATGAATCTTGAGCTAAATTATTCTCATTATTTAATTAACTATAACTTAGACATTATAATCTACAAAGTTAACCGTTGAAATCAAATGAATAATTCTTTATTATGTACAAGGTATTTATAAAAAAAAGTCAAATCAGCGAGTACTAGTTTTTTTTCTATAAATATCCACTTCATAGAACACGACAATGCAGATAATTAAATACCAAATAAAAAATTTATAAAGAATTAAATCTATACTTATAAATAGATCTATGAATCAAAAGAGAAAAAAGAAAAAACAATCGAAAAAATGAAACTTTCAATAAAAAAAATAAAAAATATAACACTACTCATGATTAAATCAATAGTAAGAATATATACAATAATCCACAATGAACTCAGTTTCAGAATTCTTAGCAGACAAAGATATACGGTATTACTAATCATGCGTAATATTTGCAATCAGTTTTATGAGCTCTATTTCCTAGGGTTCGTATTTGATTATAATCAATCATACAGCTGAATGAAGAAAATATAACAAAAAATTTAGTATTAGAGTTGTAAGTAATGAAACAATCTATAAAACAAAGAAAAGACGATAAATCACTCACATCCAACAAAATTCATAACCACATCCGGGCCTCCTACATTTCATATGATCACAACCAGCATTTTTCTCAATCCTACTCAAACATTTTGGGCATTGTTTCAATTTCTTTACATAGTGTTCAGAAGCAGACTCTTCCTTCTCTCGTCGTTTTCGATCTTCTTCCTCTTTTTCCTGTTTTCTACGTTCTTCCTGCTGTTGCCAGCATCTTTCACATCCATCGGAAATTGGAGTTCCATGCACGACACAGGATTTATGGCCGCAAGCATTACAAGTCATTATCGGAACATTCTCTTTAATGAATAAGAATAAAATAAGGATAAGTATTCAATATTGATAAAAGTATACAATAATGATACAACGTAGTAAAAATTTTTTTGCAAAAATTCACCTCCTTGATAATGATCTTGACCCGATCCACAATTTGGATTTAAACACCATTGAAAAGTAGGAATTTGTGATAAAACAAAATTTATCATAAGTCGTTCATATCTGCAATAATAAATAGAAAATAAATATGAAAAGAAATTATTTTCCAAAAAAAAAAAAAAATAAATAAACAATCGGTCCATAAATAATACTTTGCAAACACATCTTCGCTGGTAAATTCTTTCACATCCTGTTCTCGCAAAATCTCATGACAATCTTCTAACGGACATGAAATATTGATATTTCCTTTATCCTCAAGTTCATGTTTGATATATTCACCGATACACTCACGACATATGTTACTATCGTGACAGCATAAATCCGTAACATTCAAAAAGGCTTTAATATCAACATTTTCAGTACATATTGAACATTCTTTTTTTTCGTCATCTGATATATTCTGAAGGAAGAAACTATCGATATAATTTTCGTTGAAAGTATCATTGAAAAAAAGTTCTTTAGGAGTTCCCACATCATATAAATATTCATAACTATTAGTCCATAAGACGAAACCAGAGACATTACATTGAGCCATAAATTCAAGATATAGTGGTAAGCTAGAACTTTTAGAAACAGAGATCATAAAATAATACGAGTCTTGTTCAGAAGAAAGAGTATGAGACCAAGTTGCAATTACGCGATTGTTCGTGACCCATGAATCGGTAGTGTATTCTATTGTTACAGATTTGTCAGAACCACAAGTTTGTACCACAACCTGCCCCTGAAAATCGATAACACCATTAGAATCGTTGACAATCTTTATTGATTTTACGAATATGCTGTTAGACAATTGAGAAGAACTGCTATTTGTATTATTCTCATTGTAGTTTATTTCCATCACTTGTTTTTCTAATTGCCTACGCTCTTCATCTAATTGTTTACGTACTTCATCTAATTGATTACGTTCGTCTTCCAATTGTTTACGTTCTTCTTCCAGTTGTCTACGTGTAAATTCTTCATTTTCATCTAATTTTCTACGTTCATTTTCTAATTGCTTGCGTATTTCATCTAATTTTTTACGTTCTTCATCAATTGAATTATTTGAATTATTTGAATAATTATCATCGGTAGTATAATCGAAAAAGAATTCTTTAGAGGCGCCTTTATCATATAAGCAATTATAACCATCGCTAATCCATAAAATAGAACTTGCGATATCACATAACACCGTAAATTCAATATATAATGGTAATTTTGAATATTTAATAGATAAAATTTCGAAATCATAAAGATCTTGATTAGGGGAGAGGCTACATGACCAAGTTGCATTCACCCGATAGTCCGTGTCCCATGAATCAGTAGTGTACTCTATTGTGACTGTTTTTTCTTCTTTACAAGAATTTTGTATTAAAACTTGTCCACGAATAGCGATAGCACCATTACGTTCATTGACAATCTTTATATATTTTACGAATATGTTGTCAGACATTGAGAAAGTGGGTTGTTTTTTTTTTTTTTTCCTTAGAAGTATCCCTTAATATGTATTATGTATCTTCTTTTTTTTTTATTGTATCAGGTGTTTTTTTTTATTTTAATAGTAAACAATATCCGTTTTTGATCATAAATCTGATAAATCTGCAAGTCAATTTAAAAATCACATAACGATAAACTTTATGATATTTATAGTTGGTTGTTGTTCAAGTGTTGTTCACGTGCCTATCGACATAAACAAACCCATACGTATTGGGTGGCTTAGCCTAATTTCGTGATATTATCGATGCATACGAAGATATCTATGAGTTTCATTCCCGAAATAGTTTTCTCTTTTTTTTAAATTGTGAGTTGCAATAATATAGATTTTACGCTTCATCAATGTTTGTTTTGATTAATAGGCACACCTATACTCGCTGTAAAATTTTTTTTATTTATAATATATTTTGATTTATTGTTTTCAGATTTACTATTTGCATTTTTATTTAATTTAATTTTACTGTTATTATTCACATTTTTTAAACAAATAGATAGACTTGGTTTAATTATCACGAGAGTGATGGTAATCCGAAGTAAAATTAATACAGTGACTATAATAAAGTCAAATTAACTACCAGTATTGCTGTGTAATTAATAATGATGTCATTATTAAGGTGCTAATCATGCAACGTAATTGTATACGTAGTATATAGAGGTATAAATAAAAGGTATGAAGTGAAAATGAAACAAAAGTTTTAAGTTTTTATCTAAGATTTGTAAGCGGCATATTCTAAATAATAAAGAATATTTTGTTTTGCCTTTATCAAAGTAAAGAAACAAACGAGTGATCGCTAGACCCATAGTATCTCTTAACCCCGTGACATTAATCGTTTTAGTTCCTGAAGTTAACATAGAAATTTTTGTGACATTAATGCTGAAAGAATTAATTTTATTGGATTATAACTTATAATTTAAACCATTAATATTATTTTAAAATTCCGTTCTTGTTGCAGACTTTATTTTAAATAATAGTTTCATTAACTACGACTTTTATGAATACTTATTATTTTTATAGATTTGTATGATCCCTGTAATAAGTTTTTCGTTTCCTATTTCAAATTATTTGATTCTTTCATTAAATAGACTTTCAAAACATTTCATGCAATGGAAAAAATTTACTTTGATTAATAACTTTTAATGCTTCAATATCATGCTTAGAAATACACTTATTCATTTTACAATAGTTTCTTTATTAATAGCATCGTAATCCATTATATAAAATCTTTCCACAATTTAAAAGTTGTTCTAATTTTGATGAGTCATTAAAATAAATCAATATAATCAAACTTATAATTATCAGTATTGAATAATTTGACTAATTTTCCGATATAGCCATTGATTATTTAATGCATCTTTTTTGATTTCTTCTTTTGGCTATAACAACTCTTTTTTAAAAAAATAAGTTCGAATTTTGGATATAAAATTTCCGGATAAATATATATGTAGTTAATTAAGAAAATGAATCATTTCTTATTATCGCGGTTTTCGAAATCGGACCTATTGATTTACCAGCTATTCCAAAAGTATCATTTTTGATTCATGATATACTAAGTTCGATTGGCTAAAAAGCAATTAATATATAAATACTGCATTAGAATGCTATATGTATAAAAATAATCATCGCTTGTCTTCTAATTCTGATGTAACACTTTAAACAATGGGCATCGGCGCAGTAAATGACCGGTAAATCAATAGGTACCGGTATTTTAAAAATTTATTTGCCATTTTCAACTATTTCAACTATTTCAACTATTTAGAAAACCGCGGTAAAATCAAGCACTGCCATATAGTTATGTACGTACTGTACATACGTACGTCGTGACTACTTTGTGTTGATGTATATGCACATAAATACATAGTTGATAGCGTTAAGTAATTAATTTATAACTTATATATATACTGTTTAAATAAAGTTACATAATTTTTATTATATACAATGGAACCTACACAGAGTTTTTTGCATCACTAATTTAGACATTTAGTCATGTAATACGTATTTATTTGGTCAACTATTTAGAATTTTGACATTTCGAAATATTAACGTTAAGACGTATCTGGCTAAATATAGTATTTCGGCTAACAACATTAACCTATCATAAACATGATTCACACGCTTGACTACGTTTATGGATACGACTTATCGTTATCAAAAATGTTAATTTTGATATGAATTACTAAATTGTTATTATAATATTAACGCAAGGTGTATATCATGACTCATTACAAAACTGACATTCTTGATCATAACCATAATCTATATCGTATAGTTACAGTTTCGTAAATTACTGTACTGTTACATCCATGTAATACAACCTACTTTTCGAATGGTTTTGGAATTTGGATACATCGAATTACTATCATATTTTTGGATGAACTTAAATTTTAAATAATATCATGTTACGCAAGATAATTTTAAGCGAAATTTTCTGATGATCCAATGCAACTTATATAAAGCCTGACGGCTCGACTGTGTATTTATATTATTAATCATTTTTATCATTTTTAAAATCAAACTTCATTAATATCGTATTTATAGTTGAATATTTTGAATTATTAAATATAGTTATCATTTTTAAAGTCTAAATTCTCAAGAACATATTTTGTGTTCCTAGGTCGTAAGTACCAATAAATTAAAATTCTCATTAATTAATAATAAAAAAAATAAATGATTCGCACGCACATATGTAAAATTACATTTTGGTGAGTAATTAAAACCGAAATTTTTCATTAATTTTTATTCCTAATAAAAACTAACAAAATTTTAAATATTTTTCATCATTAGTTATAAGAACTATCTTTTCTCATCTTTTAAAAGGAATTTATCAGTAAGATACTTCACATCAACGAATATTAAACAAATGTCCAAAGAACGCTCAGAGGAAGAATGGCGAGCGATCCTATCTCCTGAACAGTTTAGAATTTTAAGACAAAAAGGAACTGAATTGCCAAATACTGGAGAGTATAATAAGTTTAAAGGAAAAGGTAATTTTTTTTTCCTTACAAATACGGTTTAATTTTTTGAAATTACTTTGATGCAATTGTACTTTACATATTTATTAGGAGTATATTGTTGTGCGGGCTGTAATACACCGCTTTATACTTCTGACACAAAATTTGATTCTGGATGTGGTTGGCCTGCGTTCTTTGATGCTATTCCTGGTATGATTAATCATTAATCTTATTGAACTTTATTACTAATTCTATAAATACGTGCCTAATTTTTTTGCGTGAAATTGAAGGTGCAATTAATCGTCATGAAGATCTAACTCACGGAATGAAGAGAGTTGAAATTACTTGTGCTGCTTGTGACGGTCATTTGGGCCATGTTTTTCAAGTAATTAAATAAAATTTATTTTTATTTAAAATATCTCAATATAAATTTTTTTTATTAATGTTTATTTAAAATAGGGCGAGGGTTGGAAATACACACCAGCTGATGAAAGGCATTGTGTTAATAGTGTCAGCGTTAAGTTTTCTTCTGAAGAAGAAGAAAAGAAGAGTAATGAATAAAAGTTGATTTTAGCTTCAGTATATAGTTTTTAGTTTTGTTACATATTTTTCTCTTTTATATGTATTATTTAAGATCTTTTTATATTTATTTCGATCAATTTAATAAGGTATATATATTTATTATAACACTGGTTATATCAACATTCCAAAATAAAGAAATTGCCTGATATACTTGGGAACTCGTTAAATGAATTAAAATTTATCTATAAGATGGTTAGCTAAAAATAGGAACAGACGAATTAGATATATGTTCATAACCTGGCCTAGAATAGCGATAGGTACGAACATAATCGCACATAAACTCTGGCCTGTCATTCCTCAACTATGCTCCAGACAATTAATAATAAATTATAGAAACTCTATAAGTGACAGGAACTCTACATACAGATCTGAGATCAGAATTATATAATTAGCGCAACATCACCAGACAAAATTCTCTATAAACACATCATCGTCTAATAATGATTTAACAAATCGAATTTTTAATCTTGAATTGCCAATCTGCTGTCATATCCGCCGTTTTATGTCAAGATCTTTAATTTCTGAAGATTTCGTCATAATATATTGCCATCGATAAAGTTTAAATTAATATATTTTCTGAGAATCTGAATTCATGCTAGTTCGACATAACAACCAGATGTTTTAGGTGCAAATTCAGGTCGTACTCCGTTGCAGATCTTTATTGAATGATTAAAATCTGGTCGAAATCCATCAAAAGGCTTTTCTCAGTTGACATTTCTGTCATAACAACACTGAATGATAAATACTGCCTTTTAAAATTTCAGGAGCTATATAAGGCATAATTCCACATATATGAAATTCTTTCCAGTCACTCTATATAGATAGTCCTAAATCAGAAATATAAGAGTACATCTCATCATTACAGTATGACATTGATTTAGCAAAATCTTTTTCTATGAATATCGCCAAGATTGTAACCTGCTTCATGAATTTGGGTTAAATCATATGAGACGTATAAGTTGAATCAACTTATTTTTCCACGTAAATTCTTTAAAGTTATGAGTTAAAAATTCACAAAGATTCCCTTTGTTAGCGTATTGAAATACCATAAAATTTCATTATTTTCAATATTTCGGGTCAATCCATATGTTTTATGTAAGTCCAAAACCATTTAATCTAAATTGCATATGATTTTTAATTAGTTTAAACAACCCAAAGTATTAAAGCCATATAATAAATTATCCGGATAAACGGGTAATTTAATAGTACCCGGGTAGAGATTTTCTTGACGGGTACAATCTCTACATACAAGATTTTTTGCGTGATCTCACACCGACTGTATAAAAAATCCCTTAATTATTCGTATACCATCTAACCAAGTTGCAGAATACACTGTGCCATATCATCCCTTGCCAATATATCGAATGGAATCAATATATGACGAGGTTTTGGGCTGAAATTCTTTGATACATTCATCATCATTCTTAT